TCAAGTATTAAAATTAGGAGTACAGCACTGGTGAAATAATTTCAAGAATTGTTAGAAACTGTTCATAAATGAACGCTTGCAAACAATCCATTAGTAACGATTTTTTCCTAGATAAAATGCTGTGAAACTAAGTATTTATCTCTTGTATAAAATTATGTAAATTATATATATATAAAGAAGAATGTCTGTGTGTTTGTTTGTTCACGATTAACTCAGTCACTACTATAGCTATCGTCACCAAATCTTTTCTGGGTCCTGGGAAAGGCCGACGCCCACTTTTTTTTCAATAAATAAATAAATAAATAAAAATAAAGCTAATGTCAGAGATATTCATTAAAAACTCAAAAAATGTTAATTTTCGCCCTCATTTTCTCGAATGACAACAGTCTCTCACGCTAGAGATAAAAATCTGCTTTATTTTGAAAAGCATTGCCACTGCTCGCTTTCGAATCGTAGAATTTGTTAATAAAAAATATCTAAGTTTTACAATGAAATAAAAATAGCATTTTCAAACATTAAATACTTTATTCCCGATTCTAAAGCCTTGTGGGAAGCCATTTTTACTGTTCCCATCTTCGTACAACTTTAAGCAGCGAGATATTAATTAAAAACTCTGAAAACACTGATTTTCGCACTCATTTTTTCGAGTGGCAACACAGTGGAGTTGGAAATAAAAATACTTTATTTCGAAAAGTGTTGATACTGCTCGCTTTCAAATCGTAGAGTTTATGAATAAAATATTTCTAAGTTTTACAAAATCTGTATACATGAAGAAGAATGTCTGTTTGTGTATTTCTTTGCTTCCAAAAAAATATCTAATGTCTCTACAGTGGCGCCCGAACTAAAAGGGTGTTGGATGATGATTTCTCCACACCCAAGATTTGGCGATTGGGTACTCTAAAAATTCCAGTCGTCTTTTAAAAGGGGCAGTGTATAAGGTATTTCTCCCGCTTTTCTAGCGTGCTTTCGTGGTATAGTGGTTCTGCACGCTGGGCCGGTATTCCAGAGGTCCGTGGTTCGATTCCCGGCGAAGGCGGTTGTTAATTTTTCATTTGTGCGGCTTTTCCAATTAACCTAATGGCTTTCCAATTTAACTGTTTACATTAATTTAATAATTTACTAAAAATGTTCATTTATTTCTTCATGTTTTGGTGAATTTTAGTTTTAATTAATTAATTGTTGTAACTGTTGTTTTAGTTATCAATTACTTTACTACTTCATCAGTTATTTATTTATTTTAGTTCATATTTCCTGACGGTCTCCTATAGGGCTCTAGTACTTCTGATTTTACAAATTAAACCCTGGCGGAATTTAAATTTGTGAGAGGAAGCAATCTAGCATTTATTTGTGTTAATTACAGTTTTGGTAAAGACAGACTGGTATGTTGGTTGGTTAAATAATTTCTTTGTTTTTCACTCTACTAGGTAATAAATCGCCAATTTTTTTTAATATTGTTCTTTTTATTGTTATTATTTGGCCCAGGTCTTTTGCAATTTACCCGAAGTCCGAGGTAAATTGTAGGAGACGAATAGTTGGATAAAATACTTTTTGCTCTACGATCAACAAAATGTTTGTTTTGTGCTTATGATGAATGAATAGTTATATCATAAAGAACGCGGTTATAATCAAAGAGTCGTAAATACATTTAAAAATATGAACTTCCAAAAAATGTTACAATTAAATCATAGCTTCCCTATTATGTGAAAGAAAAATGAAGCCATTTGGCTAACATATAGTAATGATATTTTCAAATGAAACTCAAAAGCAAAAGTTTCCGAAAACAAATGCGAGTCGCTGCATATATTTTCATGGAGTGTTAAAAATCCCATTCACAAACACACTCTTGTGCAAAATGAAGGTAATTCGCAAATTATATCTATTTTTACGGAATGCGTTGAACTAAACGTACTAATAAGGCTGAAGGAATAATTAAGCAAATATTCAGACGTAAGCGTACATGTGCGTGTCTGCAGAGCTATGATTGTGGAAAGGATATAAATGCACGATGGGTTTTGGTGATTTATGTGCTCGTACTCCTTCACGACATTCCCCTAAATGGCTAATTTTTATAAAGTATCTGGTAAAATGAGTTGTCATGAACGCATGGATGACGAGTGGATGAATTGAGAACTATCGGTAGGTTGGAGGCAGGCCAATCACAAACACAGGTGGCTGCAGAGTTCAATATAACGTCCAGCGTCATCTGCAATTTGTGGAAACAGTTTCAGGGCACAGGATCCATATCCAGAAGACATGGACGACGTCCACCAAGATAAACAACTACAAATGAGGATCGATATTTGGTACTTTCAGTGCGGCGGCACGGTACTGCTACAATTTCACAGCTTTCGCATAATCTGTGCTGACACTGGAATCCGAGTTTCATACTCTATAGTTGCCCAAAGGCTTCATGAGATAGGGCTGTACGCCCAAGACACTCTGTTTGCGATCTGTAGCATACAACAGCTCGCGTTTAGCAGAGCATTATGCTTTCTACAGATGAGTCGAGATTCAGCCTAAATACTGATTCTTGGCGTACCTGTATCTGGGGAGAGGGAGGAACACGATACCAATCCCTGACGTATTAGGTAAAATTATCATTATGATGGTGAAGGTTTGGGAAAGTATAATGTTGAACAGCCGCACACATCACTGTATGTGTTTGACAAAGATACCTTGACTGCTATGAGATATAGAGAGAAAATCTTAGAGCCTAATTATCAACTTTTCAGACGCGCAGTTTGTCCTGGATTTCTGTTAAGGGACGACAACAGATAATTCTCAGCTGGTCGATGATAACTGGAAAATGAAGATATTCGCTGAATGGATTGGCCAGTCAGATTCCCTAACCTTATCACTATAGAGCTAACTAGAGCGTGTTTCTCTGTAAATTTATACAGAATGCTCTTCAGAAGACAATTTCGTCTCAGAATCCCCCTCTTAAAATCGTCCCTGAGTTAAAAGCTGTCCTTCTGCAGGCGTGAGATTGACTGCTGGAGGATCTTCTCAACTGCCTTCTGCCCAGTATGCCACCTCGCTGAGCGACCTGTCTGGCTGTTGAGCGGTGACTATAGCCCATAATAGACTCATTTTCAGTTCTGGATCCCATCATGGATCTTGGACATCCCTACACTATCAATTTTACTGATAATCATGCGTACATAAAAGGGATTTTGTATGGTACATCTCTTTCTTTATTATAAATGAATATTCATACCGAATTCCATTAAATCTACCCATTAGTGTTTCAGAAATTTAATAGAATGTGCAAATTCTCTTAATTTTGCACCCAAGGGTATTTTTTGCTCGATATCTAGATATCTTATTTTTATAATCTAATTGTATCAAATTTGAAAAGCTTTCATGAACTGTTTGAAGCATTGTAAACGCTTATATTGCTGTTTTAACGCTAAAATTTAAAATTAGTTTGGTCATAATTACTAACTGTTACGGATAAACAAAAGAAAAAAATTAACAAATAATAAGGATACATAAAATGCAAAGAAGGGCATCTAGAAATAAATAGAAATGTAAAACTGAAAATAGTTTTAGGTAGTCAAGGAAAATGTAACAGAAAAATAAACTTTCCATTTTACTAATTCTTCATAAATTATGAAAATACAGGTTAAAAGAGAGTCCCAGACTTGGATAATTTGTTTGTATGACTCATGTGAAAAGTTATTTTCCATTCAAAATTTATCTCTGGTAGCACAATGTGTTTTTAGCAGTTTTACATTTATTTGTATTATTTTGCATAGATTGTATTGTATTTAATTATGGCAAAGCACACTAAGGCTATCTGCCTAAGAGGAGATGCCTTTCGTGGAGGACTTTCTAAGGGAAACTGGCTCGTATACACGTTACACATGGGGAAAACCACGAAAACACCCATGCTGCCAGCCCGTTCGCGGAATTCGAACCTCGGACCGAACTACCAGCGTTCAGCGACTTTACCGCTCGGCCGCTGGTGGGCTATTTTGCATAGAAATATTCCACATAATCAGAACTAAGAATTCATTAAAATAATTCATAGAAATAAAGTTTCTGTTTTATATAGACGTCACAAAAAAATTCGCATATCCTCTATAAATTAAAAACAAATCATGAATTTTGAAATTACATACTTTTTAAATGACATGTGTAGGAATGTAATAATATTTACTTACAATTGATTTTCAATTAATTTTAATTACAATTCATTACAATTAATTTTCTTTTAGTTTTTTTAATTCCCTTTGATTTTCATTCCAACTCAACCCTATCCAGAAAATACAAATTAGTAGGACATTCAAAATCTCAGTGAAGTTTATTTATTCTGTACGATGATATTTTGCCTTGCGATAATTTCTCCGCACTAAAATTTCTCATATATTTATCTAATAGTGTTTACATAAATGATTCCTTTTGAAAAGCATCAAGAAAGCATGCAATGGTTAAAACTCATGCAAAGTTTAAAAAAAATATATATAGCCTCCTTAAAAACGCTTATTAAATATAATTTTTAAATATAAAGGTCTCCTTTGAAATACTGTAATATGTTTCACATTATTTGGTTTTATTAACTAAGAAGTAACTAAATATGATTCATTTGACCGTTGAATAATGATGATACATCTGGTATTCAGAGTTAAATTTCGAAGTGTTTTTAAAATAATACTCCATATGTCTCAAAAGACAAGACCAAATTGTCATGCGACAATATATTAGAAGAATATTGTAGCATATTAGATATTCATGGAATATAATAAAATTGTTAACACAGAAATAATTATCAAGGACGAGAAATAATTTACCATTTTTACAGCATTTAATCTTTGATTTTACAGAGAAAAAAAAAAAAATTCTAAGATTTTTTTTAACATCTTCGTTAAGGAAAAGTAGAATTTCCCGGCATTTAAAAGACAGTAATGTTCATGTTTTGATAATGATGTTCGAATAACAAATTTCACATGTATCCTATCAATAGTTGTTGGAAAATGTTTACAATGAAATATACTTACTACTCTACTCATCATTGTAGTTTTCCAGGGTACTTTTCAAACGAGTCGAATTTTTAATTGCCGCTGCTTATATTATTCGGCCTTTTATACAAGCGCAATTTTCGATGCGTGACTACTGTCAAAATAAATCGTTACAAAAGATGTGACATCATTCTATCATTTTCCTTGAAAAAAAAAATTCTTATGAAGGAAAAATTTCTGTCTGAATAAATTTCGCGTGCTTCGTAACCCTATTATTATTATACCAAGGTTAAATTTATATCACGAAAGCATTCCATTGTGTATACATTTGGGTACAAGAAAGTCAATTTGAGACATTCGTAATGAGAAATAAATCTCCGTAAATGACACATTTGAAATAAAGGTCTAAAACACATTTCTGAAATAAATGAAGGACAGTAAACGCAATAAGACACATGCATTACAACAAATAAAGCTCACGTTTGCAGTCGTTACATAACATTTTCACACACGCAAATTCAAGCTGAAAAAAAGTTCTTTTTATACATGCATCTGAACATTTTCTGTACATGTAAATTTTGAATATAAACATTAACTTATAAAAATATAATTAAGTTATAAATCCATTTATATCAACATATAAATGGATTTTGTATGCATACTTGTCTACATACCTATGTACATTGTTAACAGTTTTGCATACATTTAAATAATTTTAATGAAGTAATGTTTAAAATTATAGTACCTTTTATATAATGTAACAGGAAAAATCTGAAGAAACGAAGCTGTGCCAAAAAAAATAAGTGTACAGTCTATTTAACAGGGTACAGGGGTCATTACAGGGGTAAATCTATTTAACATTGAGGTAAAAGGCTGGATTTGTAATGGGTTGAATGCACGCAGAATCGATGATAGCTTGATAAATATTTTTCCCAACAGTTTTCCCACCTTTGCAGTTCTTGAACTTTTTGCGAAAGTACATCTACAGCTCTTCTCAGTATCACAGACCACAACCAATAGTTAAACTTCGAACTAATAAGAACGTCACACACAACGTAATGTAAAGAGCGAAGCTCACACAAAGATCTAACAGAACTAAAAACTGGAAACTGACGCTATCTTCGGTCTTATACAATTTCTCACCGGCCGCCTAGGAATCTCTAGTATCTTCAATTTCTCGAAATTACTGGAGGGCATATATGTACGAGTATATACGAGTAAAGTTACATATAAGGGCCGTATACGATTCCAGTTACATATAGGGATCAAATACACTATCAGTTACAGTTACACAAGGACCGGACCAAAATGTTGCAAATGGTCGCCAGGTCTGGCAACTTTTGGTGATTTCTTGGAAAATTTGGCGACTAAGAAGAATAACAAAAAACATCTCCAGCTTGGTGATATCTCGCCAATTTAGCAAGATTTAGATAGCTTACCTCAATGTTAAAAAGATTTGTCTCTGTAATCTTATTTTTCCGGCAGAGCTTCGAATTTTAAGACTTTTCATGTTATACAAAAGATACTACAATTTTAAAAATTGCTTCACTAAAATTATTTACATACATATAACGATCGTAACATTGCCACCTTCCCAAGGACTGCACCTCCCGGGCAATACAAGTACTGCACAAGGAGCCATAATTACAATTAAGGAAAATCAATCGACTATTAGAATAACAATTTGAATAAATAACTATAAAAAATCAAAAATTGAATAAATAAATAAATGCATGAATTTACAAATACATACATACAGGGCCATGATCTTAGTATACAACTTGTATTATATAGACACAATGGGGACCGCGCACTGCCACGTAGTAAGGGCTACCCTATCGTAAAGAATCGAATTTTAGGTTTGGACGATTTAGGTATCCGAACTACTACGTCGTTCAGCCTGTTTAAGACAGTATAAGGACCGTCTGAGGGTGATGGTAGTTTAGGAAATAGTCCTTTCCGTCGAATTGGATGCCATTCCATGTAATGCGATCCCTGGACGGGAAGGCATAATTACGTAATTAATTTGTTTATATTCCATTTGGTCTTTGATACCGCTTTCATTATATCATTGCTATTCATGATACATTTGTGCAGCTTCCTGTTCCACATCTGATACACAAATAAAGTCGTCATCATACATGAAGTTTTCTAACATTTCTACAGTTCTGGGATAGATGTTTTCAAATTTCTTTAAATGATGTTTAAAGCAAATGCTCAGCAAAAATGCACTTGGTTTAGTTCCAAAAATTACACGACACATATGATAAACTAAATTCTCGGATTGCTCAAACTTAAATTCTCATTCAATCTACAAAAATCGCATTGAATCCCGGTCTTCAGTAGCAACATAAATTTGTAAAAACATCTTCTGAATATCTGACGTAAATGCAATTTGATGAAGTCGAATATTTATTAAAACTTTCAAATGTTCAGGAAGATTTGGTCCTTGAAGTAGATGGTCATTTAGAGATTCATTATCTTTTCCCTTTGAAGAAGCGTCACAAACAAATCAAAGTTTTCCCGAATTATGATCATCACGGACGACAGCACGGTGAAGAAGATAATAGGTTCGTTTCCCAGATGAAATATCAGGATCGATCTTTTCTATGATTTCATCTTTAAGCTGACTGTATGTCACTTCTTTATATTATGCATAAAAGTTCAAGTTCATTCTTAAAGTTGTCACTTAAAGTCACATTCTCATCTTTCCATGGAAGTCTAATTTCTTATCTATCATCTTTTCGGGTAATCGAGTTTTAAAATATTTGTAAAGCCACTTCATTTTGTTCCAAAAACCCACGTAGGCCCTTTCATGTTAAGTGTAGAAGGCAAAGAAAGAGTATTTTATAAAATATATATATATATAACAATGTTCATTTGTATGTCTAAGTAAGGCGTATATTTTTAGGTAGTGTCTCGTTTAACAATTGGAGCTTTAATTGCAACTTTGAAATGGTTTTTTGCACGACGATGCAAAAGTTCCGTAATTTTCACTTATAATGCATCCAACTTCAAAGGAGTTTATACGGAACTGAAAAGTTTACAAAATCTTGTAAAAACTCCCGATGACATTCATCAGGTTCTTTGGGTTCGGAGAAAGTACTGTGGAAATTCCTTCCTCTCAAAGTTCCAAACTTCGGACGGTTCTGAGAAGCTGGTAATAGTTCTTTCAAATAACAGTTAAAAAAAAAGAATAATTGGAAAAACCAAGCTAAACTTAGGAGAACTGCTAAGACTTTCTTGTTAGTAATCGCGTTCATAAATATTAATTCAAAAGTGTAATCTTTAGATGATACAGAAATAATTGAGGAAATTGTCAATTTGCTATCTCCTATGTTCAAAATATATTCAACTTCTGTTACAGTTATCATTGAAATACTTTCACAAGTTTCACTTATTTTATGCCTAGGTCAATCTTAAATCTTTACAAATTATTCTAGCATTTACCTTAACAAACTTTCCTTTTCTAATTATTATAAACTTAAGATACACTTTTTGTCTGTGCTTTATGTATCTACAAAAATAAAAAAAAAACAAGGGAGAAAAAGAAAAAATTAGGTTATATTGAAAAGTACTCACAAAAAAAAAAAAAAAAAAAAAAAAAAAGAGGAAATAACTGAGAATATTGTAAAAATAAAAATAAAAGAATGCCTGAATTGAATTATTTTCTGATTCGCATTGCCAAGGAAGTAGGAAAATTATATTACCTTTCTAAAATCATGAAATCACGAAAAGAATGAACCTGGTTTCAGAGTAAATGAGGTTGTGAAAATAAATACTCAAATAAAAGATAAGCACTAATTTCTTATCTGAGTCATTTCAGTACTTTATCTAAAGTTGACAAGCATGGTACAAACATAGCATGCGACAAAAATAAAAAGCACAGATATTAATTCATTAGACGATAATGAAATGCTTCTCCTCCAGAAATAATTCTTCCAAAATATCTGAAAGACACAAAATTAAAATTTCTTTATTATATTAACAAAATATTGAAATTTTTGAGAAAGACTTTAAGACAGCCATTTCCAATGACTATATTAATATATTTCTGTTGGCTCCTGATCACGTTAACCTAATAGAAGATTGTCATTTCGTGACATTTATTATATCTAAAAGAAAACGCTATAAGTTGATTTTAATAAAGCTAGACGCACAATCACTCGCTGCACGTGGTTTTAACATCCAATACAATAAGTTGCAAATCATAAAGTCTGTAAAGCTTGTATCAAACATTCAAAGCATTTCGTAAGAACAGCAGTTGAATACAATTTTTCTGCTTTGTCTCATGACACAAAACAGCAAATCATCACGGATCACTTTGGAGTTACCATATGAATGGAAAACTTGTTCTGGATTCCAAATGATGGTTGATGATTGGCGATTCAATCCTGATATGAATGTAATGAACTGTAAGTTCAACACGAAGAACTTACATTCTTTTGCGAAAGAAATAAATAAATCATATGTCTTTCTTTCAGTGTTAAAGCAAATAGAAAAAATTTTTGAAACTGTTGTTCGTTCGAAACAAATGGATGTGTGATAGCAGCCTTACAGCTGCCACAATAAACAAACAATACATATCTTAATGAATAATTAATAAAAAATATACAGTAAATAATATTCACAAAAATGTAAGTATATGCAAAAGTATGGCCTTATTAAGAATTAGTGGTGTTAACTTTACAGTGCTATAAATGTTTTTTATTTCTACCTGCGATTTATTGTTCTAGTATTAGTGGTTTGAATTGGACATGTTCTCTCAGAAAGTATATGCAAGCGTAATGATCTTGTATGCTCAATAGGGTATAAATGGGGCCCGTACAGTACCTAGAAATTAGTATTGTTTAGTACCTAGAAATCGCGTAAAAATAGTAGAATAAATTTAGCGATTAATTCTACCATTCTTAGTTAATTCTACCATCTTTACGTGATGAAAAGATTGCGCAATTCTTCGAGAACGAATGAATCTGTGTCAAGACAGTTAGTCTTCAGCGTACTAATATTCTAACGCAGCATGTTTCACACCATCGTAAAGCACCCATGAATGAGCCTGCACGATGTCTTTTTAGAAATTTAAATCAATAGCTGACCAGACTTATGTGACTTTATGTTTGAAACTACTGGAAAAATAAGTTATCTAATCAAACAACAATTCTAGTCACTC